GTGCATGTCGAGGAGTTAACGAAACAGTAAAGCACTATTTATTAGATTGTTCAACGTATGTTTTAGAAAGAACCGATCTGCTGTCCGGTTTAAGCTTCCTGCCTTCTGTGTCGGTGGCTAGTTTATTGGGAGTTCGTGGGAGATGTTTGAGCGAGCGTCAAGTTATTCTAAACGAGATATGCCGATATATACTACGGACAGTGCGATACTGAGAAGTTTCCGTTTCCTCTCGCTGCCAATACAAGTAGAACCGTAGAAGTGAATATCCAAAAATCCGAATGACCATCTCGTGAGCTTTCTCTTTACCTTTTTCTTCCTTTCTCCTTCTAAGCTCATTATACGTTCTTTTTTCTACATTTTAAGGCGCACATATGGCGAAAGCCGCTTGCGCAGTCGTTCTTTTTTCTTTTTCAATAAAAAGTTTATAAATAAAACTGGTCGAAATCGGGCTCTCGGCAAAATGCTTATCGCTCCTGAATGAAACAAGCTAGCGAGCTCAGTCGTGTGTAGTTTCGTAGAGAACAGTATGGCATATCATACCCACTCAGAAGAATCAAAACTTCTAACTCGCATGAGGCTGGTTTTCCAGAGACCTTCTGAAAATTCCTCAAAGGTCTTGGCATGCCCGATGATTGCTACATGCCTGGATGCCCACAGATGTCGTGAATTTGACGGCGAAGACCCGAACTCGCTAGCTAGTAACGTTCCTGAGTTATTCAAGCAACCGAGTCCATTCTATTTTGAAACGGATAGTAACGAACAGTAATTGTAATTCCCTACTTTAAATATACCATAAAAAGAAAAGCCAACTTTTCACCATCGAGTGTTTCTTTCTCGAATCAGACTTCTGCTGCCGTGTCTGAATAAACAGCTTTCTGTGCAAATATCGAGTGCAGCTGAAGTGTGCCGAATTAGCTTCTTGTTATTCATATAGGCGGTACAGTCAGAAGTATTTTCGACTTGACACTGTAATGAAGCGTATACAAATATCGTGTATACGCCGCTTCATCTCATTAAATACTAAAAGACAGTGTAATTCAACATTTCTCATCAATTATATCGTAAGTACCATACTTTTGAAAAAAGATGTTTCTGTTTCAAAACAATATGATAACGAGAAACTAGTTAAAAGACTATCCAAAGAAATTCATGTAAAAAGCAAAACATTCATATTACGCTTTTCGATGTAAAATAAGAGAAATACGCAAAAACGTCCATTCGGTTCTATATTTTCACTTCAAATATATTTGACTCGGCATGTGGATGAAATATACAAACTATAGTTTTTATTATGTGCGATTGACAAAGACTATTTTGAGTACCCACGATTTCTCACTCATGAACCTATGTTAATGTTTAAACATTAACTTTAATTAATAGGCAATTAACTAGCGTATAATAGGCAATTAACTACACTGTTTTTGACGCACTGAGTATTCATCCTCAGTCATCATGCACATTTTCTTTTAGAGACAAAACGATATACTCAAAAAAATTAAATTTCTCTCATATCAGTTTCCGTCACGAGAATGCAAAATTCGAGCAGATTCAAAATTCTTTCTCGTTTAGGCAATTTTCCGCATATGCTTCTCGAAGATCCTTCAGAACGTTAATAATGACAATTCATTTTCTCCTTATCATCTCAAATATAGTGAGAAAACGCCGACTTTTTCGTCAACATTGTCTTCGGAACATAATGCTGAACACGAAGATATCTAAGTAGAAAATGTTAAACATTCTTACAAAAGATGAATGCACTGTTTTGTTCTTTCTGTAGATCATGGATGGTCCATTATGTAGTCGCTTCTACATTGCATGTAGAGATGGTGATTTAGTAACTGCAGAAAATGAATTATCAAAGCTGAAGCCAAGTGAAATCTCTCGTCTAGAACCAAACGGAAGTACTGCTCTACATGCAGCTGCTTATTATGGTCATACAGAAATTGTTCGTCTGTTTGTTCGACGTTGTTGTTCCAGATCAATAAGAAACAAATACGGTCTCACTCCATATGAAGAAGCGAAAACTGACGAAATTGGAGAACTTTTGAAAAGGCATAGTGGAACAAAACGGTATGATAAGAAAACTATACCGTTAGAATGGATAAGTGATAACTTTGACGGTATTTGGAAAAACTTGCTACATCCTGGCCGCCTTTTTGAATGTGGCGATGATTCCCCAGAGAAAATCAAAGCACGTCAGGATTGTGTCGTGCGATGGTTAGAAGAGCATTTAACAGATAAGGAGGAATTGGAGCTGATAACTTCTTGGTTTAAACTCGCATTTGAGAATAATTCAGCAGAATATTTAATAAGAGCTTATACTGAAGAAACAGACTTTTTTAGGAAATTGAATCAGGATTTAGCAAACATAGATATAAATAAAGAACTGTCAGATCCTGAAATGTGTGCACCGTTGATTATTGCACGGACTCTCTTTCGATGCGCATACTATGCACGAGACGCCGATAATTGCGTGGAAATTTATTTGTATCGAGCAGTTAAATATGACGAAAAAGAAATTAGTAAATATAAAGAACATATTACAAAGGGCCCTATTAAGACGAAAACATTCTGGTCGACCTCAAAATCTCGGAAAGAAGCAGAGAACATGAATAAGGATTACAATACTATGCTTCTATTAAAGTCGAGAGATCCTGACAGTCGTAGAACTCTTGATATAGCAAAACTATCTTCCTACGTATGTGAAGAGGAAGTACTTATAGTACCTTTGACTTACATGCAGATAACATCTGTAAAGAAGAAAGGGAATAAACATGAAATACAGATAGTCTATTGGGATTGGTAAGTTAGGAGAAAAGTAAAAAAGAAGAGAAAGGAATTTCATTCTGGAGTTTTTGAAAGAAAAATCGTTTTACCGTTGTTGTCAGTTATTGCTGCTATTTTTGATGTATTTAGTTTATTTAGTGAGATTTTTACAGGATACAAGAAATATTCATACGTGTCATATGCTTATCATTCTTGTAAACGTAAAAATAATCAAGACATACGGTTACGGTTGTAAACATTCACAACGTGGTTACTTTTGTGTATATTGGTGTAATATATTTTTGTTCAATTAAATTCAAGAAGTCACCGTTCTTATACTTTCTTTACTGAAAGACATCAGTCATTATTGTATGAGTAAAATAGATCAATCATTCAGTATCGAGATCACTGAATGAGAGATAAAGAGATGGACACATTACAAGTGTTCATATTAGAAGACCTTCTTGCACTTCTTTGAATATGCATCTCTGTAGCCGAAGCGCAGAGATATTTTCCTTTCTCTAAACGAAATAAAATGTGGTCAGTATAGATGTATGTCTGTCTGTTCTCTTGCGGTCTATTTGGCGCCATATTGCGATGATCTTTTAGTGTCTCTCTTTCTGATTCTCTGTTCTGTGCACAGTAAATAAATCTTCTGTTGCTTTCATAACTAAAATCTTTCTTAAACACTTATGGATAATGATTCAGTCATGAAAATACTGCAGTTTTGAACTGTATGTTTTATTGCTGAGGGTACCGAAAAATATGACTTCTCTAAGGGACACAATAGACCAACCCACTAAAATTTGGGAACGATAGGACACATTAGAAGACTACGGGTCTTATAATGTGTCCATCCCTTTACTTCTTTTTACGTTCTTTTTATTGTCTCAAATATTTCAGATCGGGTATTAATTTAGTGTTTTCAAAGTTTTAACATAGGACTTATACAAAAGTATTCATAAAATAATGGGTGGTGGTAGAGCATTCTATATTGCCTGTCAAACTGGTGATAAAGCAACCGTAGAAAAAAAACTTACGAAGCTTAAATCAAACGAAATTTGTGTCCGTAGATCAAACGGCAGTACAGCTCTGCATGCGGCTGCCTTAAACGGACATAAAGCAATAGTTCAGTTATTAGTGAATCGATGTTGTGCAAGAGCAATCAGAGATAATGATGGTCAAACTGCTTATGAGTTAGCTTTTAATTATGAAATTCAACAGCTATTGACGAGGCACAATAAACATTCTCGGTTTGAAATAAAACCACATTTTTTTCAAAGTCCTGCTTTTGGATTATGGAGATATATTGTGAATAGTCATCGTTTAGTAGAATGTGGCTATCATGAGAAAAGTGGTGTAGAGGAACGTCGAGCTTGTGCACTTTATTGGATACAAACAGTGTTAACCAATGTTGATGAACGTAACCTAATGGTAAGTTATTTCGAGAATGCGTACTCAGCCGATAGTGCTGAACCCCTACTTATTGCAATGACAGAAGAAACGGATTTTCATTGGAAATTAAATGAAGCACTCATTGCTGAACCTGACAGCCGAGCATTTAAAGAAAACGAATTACATGGTCCACTTCTAATTGCACGAAATTTGTTTAAAGCAATATACGATGGAAAACATGGTGCTAACTACAACGGACATCTGTTATACGCAAAGGCGACACTAACTAACGAAGAAATTCAAATGTATAAGTGTCATGCATTAATACCGTCCGCGAGAAATATACCATGAGACATGGAAAACTCTGAAATATATACGATTAGATTCAGTTCATCACTAATACAAAACTTTCGTTTCGCGTATTTTACCAAATTTCTCGTTTCATTCACGTCCCAAGCATGAAATATAATAAGAAATATGCTAGTCGGTCTTGCTGAAGAAGCACCCGTTTCTCCATTGACTGTAGCTGGCTAAAAGAGTAAAATTTAGCAGGTGTAACTAGCTGCAGCGGCACAAGCCCGCTAACCTTTTAGTACTAGTTGCTGTATATATATATATAGAACGAAAACACTAAAGAAAAAAAGAAAACGAAAAAGAAATTCCTGCAGAGATGTGAGCTATGTATATAAGATTAATAATCTTCTCCATACGCCACTGAACCACAGGAACACAACTAAAAATATATGTTTTTCATTCTCTTCTGATGAACTAGTGAATTGAACTATACAAACAAAATTGATCAACAATCAGCAATGTCATTAAAAATATTTTGGTCTTTAACGAAAAGTCGTGATAATGCAGTAGATTATGATGGCAACGTCTTGTTCATATTGACGTGTAAAGAATTAACTACAAAAAGAACAATCTCACTTGAGAAATTATCAGGCTATGTTGATGAGAAAGAAGTTCTCATGGCTCCCATGACAAAAATGCAAGTAAAATCCGTAACGGCAATAGACACAAACAAATATGAAATTAATTTATTATATTGGGACTGGTGATGACTTTATAAATATTGTCTCTTTAGTGTATTATTAGCTGCTAATGTCCTTGCACGTAGCAAAGAACAGTGTGTTTTTCATATTTCAGTTTGGTTTGAAACATTTCATTTCATTTTCTGCTGATCCGTATCTGTAAATGAGTATTTCTGCTCACATCTGTTGATTCATTATTAACTCGAAGTTTCACATTTTGAAACATTGCTTATCTCATGGAAATACCAACAAACGTTGTGTTCGAGAGAATGCAGCTTGTGAAGTTGCTGTTGTTCATTTGTGAACCGTCAAACGTAGAATATCGAAGCAGCCACCTTGCAAACGATGCATTTCGAAGATTAACGTTTGATAAATAAAAATCATTCGATTCGTTCCTTTTGTTCACTTCGCACATTTCAATCCTCTCACTCGAAGCATCAATATTCTCCAAATTAGCATTGCATAATGAAAATGCACCTGACAGAAGCTGACTTTCAAAAAGAAATAGGACTATTTGACTCTTTCTTTTTGTATCTAGTTTACGAAGTGCAGTTAGTCTCTGTGTGCGAAGGTGAGTACACAGTGACTACACTCACTAATACTTGTCATGACTAATCCTATTCTTCCAGCTGAGACCCGCCGAAGCTTTCGGATTATCCACCACTTAGGAAATCTCCCTATTTTTCTCTTTTACTCACTTTTTTAATGACATATGTGTGGAATGAAAATCATCCGACTTTAAAAGCATTTGGGATTTCATTCATTGCAAGATGGTTAAATTTCATGAAGCATTAGTCAAAATACCTGATGATTTCGAATCTATACTCGACTGTGGAGCTCCAGTTACTTTTTGGCAGTCTCACGTTGAAAATGTCTTAAAAGGTATGTTCCATCTAAGAAACTTTCTCTGTATTCGTCTCCTAAACCGCGTCTGTCAAAAGAAACACTAAAATTAAAAAGAAAAAGTAATGCAGCTTTCAAACGTTGGCAAAGAAGTCCTGATCTAATTCGTGTAACAGGAGAGAAAGAAGGAATTGAACATCTCAGTTGTTTCCTTGGCTGATGTCTTTGTTGGCTGATGTATTGTTTTTATCGTTGCTTATAAACTGAGTTACATTCATACTTATTCAAGTCCGATCAGAAACGGGACGGGTCAGAAAAAGAACGCATGATGCTCTCGAGATGCATTTGTTTATCGCGGCGTGTA